GGCCCTTAAAATAGATGGGAGATATAATAGTTTGAGACAAATTTTGAGTGTGGTGTGGACTTCTATCTCCTCTCCTGTGGTAAGAGTCAGTCTTCACTGGTTGTTGAAACTCCTGAAAAGGGGATTTATAACAGATGGGTTCCTTTTGGAGGCTCTGTTTGTTTATTTATTTTTATTGATTTCATAAAGGAAGGGAGAGGGAGAGATAGAAACATCAATGATGAGAATCACTAATCAGCTGCCTTCTGCACACCCCGCACTGGGGATCAAGCCTGCATCCTGGGCATGTGCCCTGACTGGGAATTAAATCCTGACCTCCCGGTTCATAGGTTGACACTCAACCACTGAGTCACTGACCTCCTAGTTCTGTGGTCGGCAAACTGCGGCTCTCGAGCCATATGCGGCTCTTTGGCCCCTTGAGTGTGGCTCTTCCTAAGCCTTAGGGGTACCCTAATTAATAACAATGTACCTACCTATATAGTTTAAGTTTAAAAAATTGGGCTCTCAAAAGAAATTTCAATCGTTGTACTGTTGATATTTGGCTCTGTTGACTAATGAGTTTGCCGACCACTGGCCTAGTTCATAGACCAATGCTCAACCACTGAGTCACACTGGATGGGCATGGAGGACCTGTCTTTAAGTCAGTGGTTCTCAATCTTGGCTGAACATTAGAATCACCTGGGAATCTTTTTAAAATCCTGATTTCTGAGCCTCATCCTCCGGAAATTCTGTTTCTTTGTTACTAATGTTGTGGCCTCAGCCTATAACAAGGAAACAGAATTTCTGGAGGATGAGGCCCAGAAATCAGGATTTTAAAAAGATTCCCAGGTGATTCTAATGTGCAGCCAAGGTTGAGACCACTGCTTTAAGCAGATAAGAGGAGTTCATAGAAAATCTGTTTTTCAAGTGCTTTCAGCTCAAAACAATCAACATTCCATAGCAGCATACTGTGGATGGCATGTCCTGAACTCCTTCACTTCCACTCTGCTCCTTGATTACAAATCCTCTCCTGTCCTTGCTGCTTTCAGAGTTTAACCCTATCTCTCTACTACAAGTCTTGACATTATAATAGCCTTGAATATAATACCCTCTTGTTTTAACAAGTGCCAGAATAATTTTTAGCATTATTAATGATTAACTAATATCTATTTATTATCCCTAACTCACCAGAAAAAAATTTAAATATCCCTCTGAGTTTCAATAAAAGTCTTGATATGTCGAGGAAACCAAGATGGCAGCATAGGTTAACGCTGGAGATTGCTGCCTCGAGCAACCACTTCAAAAAACAACTAAAGGACGGAACAGACATCATCCAGAACCACAGGAAGGCTGGCTGAGTGGAAATTCTACAACTAGGAGGAAAGAGAATATCATACCCAGACTCAGAGGAGGCGCAGTGCTGAAGTGAAATACTCAGGTGCGGAGTGCACGCGGAGCGGGCTGGAGGCAGAGGGCGCGGTTGTTGTTTTCAATAGGGAGGGAGTTTCAGACTCTGAGCTCCAGATCCGGGCGAGTCTCTAGGGACCCAGACTCAAACGGGAGAAGCGGGACTGTCTGGCTTCGGTCGGAACTCAAAGGCAGCTTTATCTCCGAGGTTTGCAGCAGTTGCTGGGACTCTGTGAGGCAGAGCCCCTAGGGACGGAACTGAGAGCAGCCATAACTACTCAATCCGGCCGCCCTGTAGATCCCCGGGGACCCGCCCCGCCCAAGCCCTGCGCAGAGCCATTTGCCGGATAGCCTCAGGCAAACACTAGATTAGCACCGCCCTAGAGATCCAGCACAGAAGCTCTCCCACTGCAGATACAGCTGACTCTCATAGCCAGTTAGCCTGGAGGTCAAATCACCCCCGGTATTGCCGACAACAATCCAGGCTTAACTACAACAAGACTGCGCACAAAGACCACTAGGGGGTGCACCAAGAAAGCATAAAAAATGCGGAGACAAAGAAACAGGACAAAACTGTCAATGGAGGATATTGAGTTCAGAACCACACTTTTAAGGTCTCTTAAGAACTGTCTAGAAGCCGCCGATAAATGTAGTGAGATCCTCAAGAAATCTAATGAGACCCTCGATGTTATGATAAAGAACCAACTAGAAATTAAGCATACACTGACTGAAATAACGAATACTATACAGACTCCCAACAGCAGACCAGAGGAGCGCAAGAATCAAGGCAAAGATTAGAAATGCGAAGAAGCAAAAAACACCCAACCAGAAAAGCAAAATGAAAAAAGAATCCGAAAATACGAAGATAGTGTAAGGAACCTCTGGGACAGCTTCAAGCGTACCAACATCAGAATTATAGGGGTGCCAGAAGATGAGAGAGAGCAAGATATTGAAAACCTATTTGAAGAAATAATGACAGAAAACTTCCCCCACCTGGTGAAAGAAATGGACTTACAGGTCCAGGAAGCGCAGAGAACCCCAAACAAAAGGAATCCAAAGAGGACCACACCAAGACACATCATAATTAAAATGCCAAGAGCAAAAGACAAAGAGAGAATCTTAAAAGCAGCAAGAGAAAGAAACTCAGTTACCTACAAGGGAATACCCATACGTCTGTCAGCTGATTTCTCAACAGAAACTTTGCAGGCCAGAAGGGAATGGCAAGAAATATTCAAAGTGATGAATACCAAGAAGCTACAACCAAGATTACTTTTTCCAGCAAAGCTATCATTCAGAACTGAAGGTCAGATAAAGAGCTTCACAGATAAGGAAAAGCTAAAGGCCAAACCAGTATTATATGAAATGCTGAAAGGTATCCTTTAAGAAGAAGAAGAAGAAGAAAAAGGTAAAGATACAAATTATGAACAACAAACATGCATCTATCAACAAGTGAATCTAAGAATCAAGTGAATAAGTAATCTGGTGATTATAATAGAATCAGGGACATAGAAAGGGAATGGACACTATTCTTGGTGGGGAAAGGGGTGTGGGAGATGCGGGAAGAGACTGGACAAAAATCGTGCACCTATGGATGAGGACAGTGGGTGGGGAGTGAGGACGGAGGGTGGGGCGGGAACTGGGAGGAGGGGAGTTATGGGGGGAAAAAAGAGGAACAAATGTAATAATCTGAACAATAAAGATTTAATTTAAAAAAAAAGAAAAAAAAAGTCTTTAAAAATATTTTCGCTTTGTTAGGATTAACATGCTCGCTGAAAGGCATGATACTTTGATGTGTCTTTTAACCAAATGTTCAGCACTTTTCTAATTTTATGACTAGCAGTTGAGTCCTACTTCCCACCTCCCACTGATCTGAGACATGTAGATTAATTTGGTTTGGAAATACTTTAGTTGACTATCCTTTAGTTGACGAATTATATTCACAATTATACTTTTCAATAGAAATGGGAACCCTAGCTGGTTTGGCTCAATGGATAGAGCATTGGCCTTCGCACCGAAGGGTTGCAGGTTTGATTCCGGTCAAGGGCTCGTAGCTCTGTTGCAGCCTCTTCCCTGGCCGGGGCCCTGCGTGCAGGAGGCAACCAACTGGTGTGTTTCTTTCACATCACTATTTCTCTCTTCCACTCTCTCTAAAAATTAATGGAAAAATATTCTCAGGTGAGGATTTTAAGAAAGGGGAATAGGTTCATCTCTGCTCATGTAAATGTCATACCAAAGCACATCTTATTTCCTCTGTGACTGACGCCATACTAGTCTTACCTGTCACCAACTTAAGAATGCTTAGCAGTGCCTGGCACATTAGAAGAGTTCAACAAAAAACTGCAATTAATATTAAGAACTGAACTTTAATTTTTTTTTTCACCTTTCTTCTTTTTCTTATTTTTTAAAAAAATGGAACACTTCACAGATTTTCATGTCATCCTTGCCTGGAGGCCGTGTTAATCTTCTCTGTATCATTCCAATTTTAATACATGTGCTGCTGAAACAGCTTGTATAATTTTCTTGAGTCTTCACTGCAAAGAAGTCTTATTCTACCCCGTCTTTGCTTTACCTTCCTTTTCTCATTCTCAACTGAGTTCTCTCCTTATCTCCAAAAGGAAGAGTGACTTGCAACCTGCTGATAATGAAACGGACGGAGATAATGATATTCTCTGTTAAGGCATCGTGCAAAAGTAATTCTGTTCACTAGAATTTTATGGATGGGGCACTCTATATTGGTTATTCACTGGTGATGTAAAGAGGTCTAAAAGAGAGAGAAAAAAAAAAATATATATATATATCAAGTAGATGCTCAAGAAATTTTAGGTGCCTTCCTATCTCACTTATGAAGACAATGAGGCTCCCAAAACCAAGGAGTGATAACCAAGTTCTACAAAAAAGAGGGTGTGTGTGTGTGTGGCTATCATCACTTTCCTTTTCTTGCTGCTCATTCGTTTTTGTGTCTTAATGACCACGTAACAAAATCTCCAGGCTCACCAATGTAGTTGGCAACTGTCAAGCACCTAGATATGGTAACATTTACAGGGATAACCATTTTGGTGATGTCTAACAGTTTTGCTGTCTTCCCCTACAACAGTGTTTCTCAACCTGTGGGTCCCGACCCCTTTCACAGGGGTCGCCTAAATACATCCTGCATATCAGATATTTACATTACAATTCATAACAGTAGCAAGATTACAGTTATGAAGTAGCAACGAAAATAATTTTATGGTTGGGTCACAACATGAGGAACTGTATTAAAGGGTCTCGGCATTAGGAAGGTTGAGAACCACTGCCCTACAATTTATTGTATCTGGTGTACCAAAATGACAGTCCGTCCTTTCAGTCCGCCTCACCCGCAGTGGGAGATAACCACTGGTTTGGGGGCCTTGATAATTCTTTAACAGAAAGAACACTCTGGACTCTAACTCATTGGGGGTCTAAAATCATTACAATTGTTATCCCTACTTAAACCTGATCCAATATTGGTACCAATTGGGTGAGGACAACCATTCATTTCAATAAATATTCACCAAAAATTTAGCACGCATCCAAAAACTACGATTTGGTAGCGCTTTGATACCCAGCCCGAGCTACGGAAACCCAAGGAGGACTACCTGGCTCAGCAAACACGACTTCCAAGAGGCGGGGCTTGGGAGAGGCGGGCCCGGACGTCCCAGCGCGAGAACACGCCCCGACGCATGCGTCCTTCTTAGCCGGTAACTTCCATTTGGTAGATGGGGGAGGCGAGTGCAAAGCAGGCTACAGTTTTTCAATTCCTATTCTTAACCAAAAACTTAATTGTGAACAATACCGTGAATAACTTGCGAGCCTTATTTTCCGAGTTCGGGATGAAGAACACTTGGCCTACACCGCGAACGCAAGAGGTTACGTCTCGTATCCTCCCTGTCCCCTGGGACATGGGTGGTCTAGTCCATTCCCCAGACTTTGGAGTCCTTGCAGCGGGTCGGAGACCGAAGAATTGGGCCAATTGCGACTGAAACGTCTTTGGAAGGAGGAAGGGGGTGCGGGAGCATCCCTTTGAGTCCCGCCTCTCCGTCTCCAAGGCGGTGGTAGGGAAGGGGGAAGTACGACATCCTGCCCTCTACAGCCAAAGGAGCACAGCTCTCCGTGCAAACTGCCCGGAGGGCGGCGGGAAAAGGGCCGGACGGGAGTGGGAAACGAGAAGGAGCCGGGAAGCCGCGCGGGAGGGCGCGCGCGCGCCCCTTTTTCAGCAGTGTGGCGGGGTCGCACGCACGCCCGCCTCGGCGGCTGGGCGCGGTTTGCGACAGTGGGGGAAGCGGCGGCGGTGGCGGCGGCGGGGGCAGCTTTGCGGCAGGCTCCGGCCGGGCTTGCTTGACGGCGGTGTGGCGGAGGCCCCGCCCTCGGCGGCAGGAACCTGGAGGGAGGCGGAGGAATATGTCCGAGAGGGAAGTGTCGACAGCCCCGGCGGGAACAGACATGCCTGCGGCCAAGAAGCAGAAGCTGAGCAGCGACGAGAACAGCAACCCGGACCTCTCCGGAGACGAGAATGTGAGTGGGGTCGCTGAGTCGTGCGGGCGGGACTCCGGGGAAAGTTTTGAAGTCTTTTTAAACTGTGGGAGCGGGGCGGCCGGGCGGCTGGGGGGGGAGGGCGAGGTGTCACTCGCTGCTCAGGAAAACGCGGGCGTGGGAGAGAGAATCGGACTTGTCGCTGGGGTGTCGACGTGGGGCCGAGAGTGAGCAGAGACTTGGCGGAGCGTGGGCGGGGGGCGGGGGGCGGGGGGAGCGGCTCGAATCCTTTCGCGTGGACGGGCGCGTTTGGGCCTTGGGGGCACTTGGGGAGAGAGAGTGCGGGAGCTGAGATTCCCGTCGTTTAAAAGGCGAGTTAGAGATGGTTCTGGGAAAGTTGGGAGGGAGAACCCGGCGTGTTAGGGACTCTCTTAAAGGAGTTAGGGACCGTGTCCCTCCTCGACCCTCACGGACGGCTGGATGGGAAGAGCCGATCGCAAGGGGTTTCGGTGATTCTCCGGAAAGGAGGTCTGGTGCCTGCCCCTGCCCTGTCCTCGGAGATGAATGAGGTCAGTCCGGTTTTCTGGAGGAGGAGCCGACGGGAGGGTCGTCTTCTGACTTGGAGGGGAAAACCACCCGCGAGGAAGGAAAGAGAAGGGACGGTTCCGCTTTCGAAAGTTGCTGAGATACAGGGCACCACCTGGACCAGTGGCTCTCAACCTTCCTAACGCCGCGACCCTTTAATACAGTTCCTCATGTTGTGGTGACCCCCGACCATAAAATTATTTTCGTTGCTACTTCATAACTGTAATTTTGCTACTGTTATGAATCGTAAGGTAAATTATCTGATATGCAGGATGTATTTTCATTGTTACAAATGAAACATAATTAAAGCGTAGTGATTAATCACAAAAACAATATGTAATTATATATGTGTTTTCCGATGGTCTTAGGCGACCCCTGTGGAAGGGTCGTCCCCCCCCCCCCCCCGCCCCCAAATGTGTCCCGACCCACAGGTTGAGAACCGCTGACCTGGACGGTCTCGGCGGCATAGGTAGCTGTCCTTAAGGAGCGGGCTTCATGGCCTCGCGGTGTTTGATTTGGGGAATGAGATTTAAAAATAACAGTAAAACCAAAACGGATCATGATCAACATCTTCTAGTCCCAACTGTGTTTAGGTGAGATGCCAGTAACAACCGAATTGACATTGCTCTTCCAGTTTCATGTTTTAATATGGCCAATAAGTTCTGCAAAATGTCTTGACAATTCATGTAAAGATAATACTCCAAAATGTGAGCCCCTTTTCATAATATACGGCAATAACATCTGGCTATCTTTTTAAAATCTGTAAAGTGTTATAGGAGGGTGGTAGAAGTTCTTCATTTTTTTATTTGGCTAGTTTTAGGAATAAATAGGACATCTTATACACCCATTTCTTAAATTCTACATCACTGCATTACTGATCGAAGCATAATATTATATGAATGACATGGTGTCATGACCAAAATTTTCACGGAAGGGATGGGAAAAGAACTCTTTGTAGATAGAAGAAAGATTTTTAGGTGATTGTCAGTTTGTGGGATTTGGACTTGAAATTTCTGGAAAGCTTCAGTGTTGAAAGTTACTTTAAAAGTAACATTTTTCACGTTTTCGTTCCAGTCCTTGGAGCCTGTTTTCTTTTGCCTTCTCTTAAATTTCTTTGGGCAGATTAGGTTAGTAATAGGAGCACAGACAAGATCCAAATGTTAGGTTAACATTTTCCCTCTATTACTTACTGGTTGCTTGATCTTGAGCAAGGCAAGATCCTTGACCTAGTTGCCTCAGTTTCTTATCTTACAAATGGAGATAATAATGGCATTTACCTGGAGGGGCATTTGTAAGGATTAAGTGAAGTAGTGTAGGTGAAGTGCTTGCAAGAATGCCTGCCTCTACCCTAGCCGGTTTGGCGCAGTGGTTAGGGTCCTTTGCAGACTGAAGGGTCCCAGGTTTGATTTCTGGCTAGGGCAAGTACCTCCGTTGCAGGCTCCTCTCCTGCCTGACTCGGGCGTGCAGGAAGAAGGCAACCACTGGATGTGTTTCTTATCAACATTTCTCTCCGTCTTTCCCTCTTTCTTCCACTCTCTCTAATCAGTGGAAAAATATCCTCGGGTGAGAATTTTAAAATAAGAATGCCTGCCTTGCCGTAACTGGTTTGGCTCAGTGGATTGAGCATCGGCCTGCGGACTGAAAGGTCCCAAGTTCGATTCCAGTCAAAGGCATGTACCTTGGTTGCAGGCACATCCCCAGTAGGGGGTGTGCAGGAGTCAGCTGATCGATGTTTCTAACTCTCTATCCCTCTCCCTTCCTCTCTGTAAAAAAATCAATAAAGTATATTTAAAAATAAAAAAGTGCCTGCCTCATAATAAGTACTATTCAAATTTTATATAATTGCTATTACTATAATTTTGTGATCACATAGTATAATCATATGTTTCTGACCTCTCCACATACTAAATAATCAGGCAGAAATGTAATGAAAATAGAAATTTATTTAGACGGAGGAAACTTCAGGGGGCCAAATAAATTGAAAGCTTATTTTATTTTTGCAGACTCTTAGGGAATATATTTGATGCATTAGAAAACTGTTCACAACCAAATGATTGGATGAAGCCTTTGTTTTGGTTCCTCCATCTGGATGAGGACTTCATATTTATGTATATGTTTTTATTGATTTCAGGGAGAGGGAGAGAGATAGAAACATCAGTGAAGAGAATAACATTTTTAAATGTGTAAAATACAGTGAAAAGATTATAAAAGTAATCATAAACTTATGGTATAAAATACTTTTGAGATTTGTTTTAATAAAGTATTTTATTTTTATTTATAAATCAAAACACTAACATTTGTCACGAATACTGGTAGCATTCTTTTAATTTATTGGAGTGACATTGGTTAATAGTTATCATACAGGTTTCAGGTGTGGATTTCTATGTTACAAGATCTGTATGTTTTACTGTGTGCCCATCACCCAAAGCCAAATCATCTTCTGTCACCATATATTAGGTCCCCTTTACCCCCCCTCCCCCACCTCCACACCTTCCCTCTGTCAACCTGGACCACACTGCTGTTTGTGTCCATGAGTTTCAGATTTATATCCCACATATGAGTGAAATCATATGGTTCATAGCTTTTTCTGCCCGACTTATTTCATTTAGCATATTATCTGCCTTTGCTGGAATTTCTCATTTCCTTTTTTTAAAAATTGAATTTATTCGGGTGACACGGTAAAGGGTGCGTGCAGGAGGCAGCTGATTAATGTGCTCTCAAATAGATGTTTCTCTCTTCCTCTCTAAAAACCAATAAAAATATTTTTTAAAAGATGTTAAGGGAAGAAATGTGTTACTGGCTTTGGTATTTTATATAAAGCTAAATATGAGAGTCATCTATCCTGCATAATAAAAGCTTAATATGCAAATTGGCCAAATGGCAGAACAACCGGTCGTTATGATACACACTTACCACCAGGAGGCAGATGCTCAACGCAGGAGCTGCCCCCTGGTGGTCAGTGCGCTCCCACAGGGGGAGTGCAGCTCAGCCACAAGCCGGACTGACAGCTGGTGAGCGCAGTGGCGGTGGCAGGAGCCTCTCCCGCCTCCACAGAAGTGCTAAGGATGTCAGTCAGATATCCCCCAAGGGCTCCTGGACTGCTAAAGGATGGAGGCCAGGCTGAGGAACACCCCCCCCCCCCCCCGCCCCAGTGCATGAATGTCATGCACCGGGCCTCTAGTATTAAACTAAAAAGCTGGAAAAAAAATAAAGGGAGATAAGAATGCAATGTGCCCTATTATTATTTTCAAATATACTTTTATTGATTTTACAGAGAGGAAAGGAGAGGGTTAGAGAGTTAGAAACACACCTGATAGAGAAACATTGGTCAGCTGACTCCTGCACAACCCCACTGGGGATCAGCCTGCAACCAAGGTACATACCCTTAACTGTAATTGAGCCTGGGATCCTTCAGTTCCCAGGCTGATGTGCTATCCACTGAGCCAGATTGGTCAGGGCTGTGCCGTATTATTAACAATGTTTTGTATGACTTCTTGTTTAATTTAATTTATTGGAGTGATGTTGGTTAATAAAATTAAATAGGTTTCAGGGGTATAGTTCTATAATGTGTCACCTGTATATTGTGTGCACCCCAAATCAAGTCAGTTTCCATCACCATTTATTAATTCACCCTTTACCCACTCCTACCTCCCCTACCCCCAGTTGGCTTCTGGATTAGAATGTAAAGAAGCTCGTGAATAATGCATGTAATAGTTTGATTATTTTACTTCTCTAGTGTTAAAAGATAATTTTCAGAAAAAGGCAAGTGAATACATGTTAAAATTTTTATTTTACTCATGTAAGGGAACTGGGCAAGTCAAACAGTACAAATTAATAAGGAATAAAGGAATGTTGAGATGAAATTGCAAATGGGGTCAAACACTTTTTTTTCAGAGTGTAAGGGAAGGCACTTTGCACCTCTACCTTTAGAGACAGAATTTGGACTACTAGTTAGTTATCCACAACTTGAAAAAGAGATGTAAGGTTAGTCAAAGGCAACTAAGAGGGCTATAATCTGATACTATGGAAGAGTGTACCATAGATAATGCATAGTTTTCCATCGAAACCCAAAATTGTTTTCTACACTAGATTTTAACTGTTTAAATACAACTGGGAGGTGGGGAGAAATTGGGAAAGAGAAAAACAGTGATTTTAGCCTAGGAACTGAACTTTAAAATTTTACATTTTTATATCTCTTTAAAGGCAGATAATGTTTAAGTTACAATTCAAGTTTTTTTAGCATGTCATTTTGGTAGGAACCATTTACAGCTTTGAAAGCCACCCCCAAAAACTACTTTTTTAAAATTTATAAATCTTTATTGTTGAAAGTATTACATAGGTCCTCCTTTTCCTCCTATTAACCCACTCCCATCCTCCCTCCCACCCCCATTAAATGAATTTTAATATACTTTTGTCCCTCTAGTTAAGTTTAACCTTTATAATATAAAGCTAGCTTTAGGAAGCAGTAACTTAGAAACAGCCCCTAAGGCGCAATGGTTCCTAGACTGTATTCTCATAGATGTTAATAGGCACTCCAAGAAAAAAGGCTTTCTCTAGAATGTGGTTAACTACTGCCCTAATGTTACAGATTTAAATAAATCTCTATTTCTAAAAATACATTGTAATATGTAATCAAAGGAGGTGAAATCCTCTTCTGAGATTAGAGGGCCATCAATATATCTTGTGGACTCGAGATTAGGTAAAAATTAGGTGAATTTTCAAGGTTTTCTGCTGCCATTTCTACTTTGGAAGGAAATTACTTTATAGAGTATCTGGAGCTCTAACATACAGGGTGGGGCAAGAGTAGAACAAGAGTTGTGAGTTATCGGAACAGTTTATTATATTAGTTATTGCATTGTTTTCCATATGAACAGCTGTAAACCTACTTTGCCCCACCCAGTATTTATGAGTATCATTATTTTAGAGCTATGAGTCAAATTTCAGTTGTACAGAATATGTGGGACTTCTTTTAGAGACTGGGAGGGAGGGGGAGAGACAGAGAGAAACATCCATGTAAGAGAGACACATTGGTTGCCTCCCACTCACGCCCTGACAAGGACCAGGGATCTAACCTGCAACCTAGGTACATGCCCTTGACGGAAATCGATCCCAGGACCATTCAGCCTGAGGGCTGACTCTCTATCCACTGAGCAAAACTGGTTATGGCAAGCATGTCAAACTCAAAGGCTAACACGGGCCAAATAAGGCATGTGGCCCATGGGCCGCAAGTTTGACATGCTTGGGCTAGGGCAGTGGTCGGCAAACTGCGGCACCTTGAGTGTGGCTCTTCCACAAAATACCACGTGCGGGCACGCACGTACAGTGCGATTGAAACTTCGTGTCCACACTCAAGGGGCCAAAGAGCCACATGCGGCTCTTGAGCCGCAGTTTGCCGACCACTGGGCTAGGGCATTAAGTCAGATTTAGGAGTCAGAGCTTTGGGTGTGAACTTCAGCAACCCTAACATGCAAAAGACGACTTAGGCTCTCCTTTTGTTTGTTTTCTTTTTTCTTTTAAATTTGGTTCTCTTTCTATTTTTTTTTTTTTTTTAATTTGCTACTTAGGCTCTCTTAGACTTCTTATCTAACAGTACCTTGTGTGGAGACCATTGTGTTGCTATTTAAAGGCAGCATTTGTACTGTTTTTCTGATTAGCTTTTTTTGTTTATATTTTTGCTGAAATATCAAATATCCACAAGTTCTAATGTGTAGCTGGTTTGCTTTTTATCCTTTGGAGATAGGAATAAAATGTTCCATTACTCACAGAATTTATTAATTATTTCTTTTAGGTCATTCAGTAGCTGTCCAGTAAAAAGTCATTTGCTGCCTGAGTGTAGTATTACTGTTTTATGTAATTTTTTTCTAACTTACTGCTTACAGGATGATGCTGTCAGTATAGAAAGTGGAACAAACACTGAACGCCCTGATACACCTACAAATACACCAAATGCACCTGGAAGGAAAAGCTGGGGGAAGGGGAAATGGAAGTCCAAGAAGTGCAAATATTCTTTCAAATGTGTAAATAGTCTCAAGGTATGTGCAGAAAGACAAATCCTATTAGTTGAATGCTAAGCTGCAAAATTATTTACCAGTGGTAAACATTTTATGCTCAAGATACTCTGTCAAGTTAAAAATATTTTTAAATTACAGTACTTTTTGAAGTTTTGTTTTTATAGTATAGACTGCATAGTTATAATTCACTCTACTTTCATTTAGCGTTTCGTTTTGTCTTAAATGGATAATACCTAGTACTGCAGGCTAGTTTTTCTTTATTGTTTATATTCAAATAAAAGGTTTTGGAAAATGTATTTTGATAAAATTTAAAAGTATATGCTACTTTCAGGTACTTATTCGTAAAAAGAACTGAATGTGACTCATTAATTTTGAGCCAGCATAAATTGAAACCCATGCCTTAGTTTCTGCAGTTTAAAAGAATTTAACTCTTATCTGTTGTTTTATTTGATTGTTTTCAAAGAAAAGGATATAAATTAAAAATTTTTTGATTATGTAGAAAACAAGTGGTTGAGGTTATATAAATGACTACTTCCTCAATAGTATCTTTATTTATAAAAGGGATTAGTGGAATTTAAGATGTTTTTCTTTACATGTATTCATTATTGGTTTAAATTTGGGGGTGTTTTCCTTCGCTGAGCAAAAATGTGCATTACATTGTCTTATACATGTATGAAAGAATCTTTTCTAAATATGTATTTCAGGTAAAGTCTTCAGAAAGCATAAGCGACTATGGCTATGTGGAAATTATTTTCTGTCTGTAGCAAAATTCTTTGTTCAGTGTATGTCAAATTATACTCTTAAAAGAGAGAGATTAATCTTGGTTATATATTTTTTATAAAGGGAAAGTGCCCATTAGTTTCGTATTAATATTCAGTTATATCAACCTATTTTTAGATAGTATGTCTAGAAGGTTGTTTTAACTGTCAGTTAAATATTTTAATTAAATATTTCAAAGCATTAAATCTATGGCTTTTTAAGGGTAAAAAATAAAAGTTGTTAGACTTTAAAAGTAAAAACAGTCCCTTGAAGTGAATATGAAAATTAATGTTAAACGCCAAGAGATTGCCAGTAAAATCCTGAGAATAACTTTGTGAACACTTGTTTTTCATATATGTCCTTATAGCCAGCCTACTAGCAACTAAAGGTATAGTCCATGGCTTCCCCTGCCCCCTTTGTTCAATTACCATACTTGTTTATTACAAAACTTGGGATGTTTTTCTTTTAGGACTCAAATTCAAGGTTATTTAAAATTGTTTTTATAGCAATAATAGAAAGCAGTGATTTGCGCCTGGTGTGCTTCAGTTTACAAGGGGAAAATTAAACCTAATAAAGTTTAGCTAGTGCTAAGCCACTCTTACGTAGGTCATTTGTTAGTTTACAATTTCAGAAAAATAAATTTTGTCCTTATGTCCTGAGAAATGAATGCATTTGCCATAATTACTCAGTTTTGTTTTGATTCCAAAAAATATGGTTGGGTGTGAGAACATAGAAGGCAAATATAAAAGTATTTTCATAAATAAGTGCTTGTTACCTAATTCTGATTTAAGGCATTGGTTATCATAAAATTTTATCATATACTAACTAGTATTTTAAAATGTGAAAACTGGACAAGTAGATATCGTTTTAGAGTCAAAAGTCAGTTTATGTGTGTTATTTCAAAATAGTGGCTTCCATGTTCAAAAAAAGTTATAAGGAGGATGGTCAGTCTACTACAATTTTTTTGTTTCTAAAATACATTAATTTTTCTTATTTCATGATTATTTTATAGGAAGATCATAATCAGCCATTGTTTGGAGTTCAGTTTAACTGGCACAGTAAAGAAGGAGATCCACTAGTGTTTGCAACTGTAGGAAGCAACAGAGTAAGTGTTAAGGATCTGTTTGGCATTTGGTTTGATGATTAGATTCTGGTATTAATATAATAAATGTAATGATTTTGAGATAAATTTCGTGTAGCTAGTTTGACATTATTATTCCTTTGTGTGAACATGAAGCATTCTAGAAGTTGTCTAATTAAACCTAGTATTCATGACTGAAAATACATCTTTATTTCATACTAGTGGCCTGGTACACAAAATTCGTACACATTAAGAGGGAATTAATTAGAAGAAATATTTTAATATTGCTATTTGCCCTTTCTCTATATAGAAGTGTCAGAGATAAAGAAAATTAGTAAAGCGTATATGAAAATCTCCCTCCTGTCAGAGTCTGGGCCGCGCCGTGGGACCCAGAGTCAAGTTCCCACCTACCCGCGTGTGCGCCTCGAAATCGCACAAGACCCAGTGACCCGGCCAGTCCCACTCCCATCAAGCCCTGCTAGGCAGGGGGCGCAGCTTCAGGTCCCCAGCCCAGTGCCGGGGCAGGGGGCCATGGCCTCAGGTCCCCTGGGCCCGTGCCACCCAGCCTCAAGTCCCTGCTGATCAGCCGTTATGGCATCAAGGCATGATGACCATTTGCATATTAGCCTTTTATTATGATGATGATTTTACTCAAAATCATTCACACAACAGGTTTCTGTTTATATTTTGTCTTAATGATCTGTTTTGAGTGATTGAAAGAATTCATGTTCTTTTATTCTAATTTGAATAAGAAATCTCATTTCTTTTTTTTTTTTAATATATTTTTATTGATATCAGAGAGGAAGGGAGAGAGAGAGAGAGAGATAGAAACATCATTGTTAAGGGAGAATCATTGATTGATCCGGATCAAGTCCTTAATCCGGGCATGTGCCCTTGACTGGAATCGAACCTGGGACCCTTCAGTACACAGGCTGATGCTCTATCCACTGAGCCAGACCAGATAGGGCAAGTCTCTCATTTCTTAAAAATAAATGTAATTAATGCCTCTTATTAAAGTATAGATCCAGTGTATGTATATAATAGTTACTGAAAGTATTTTAATATTTGTAGTAAATATTTGTTTTATTTGTTTTTATTTAAGGAGGCCAAGAGTATCTTGAACTGAGAAAAAACCATACTGGGCACGTTTTTAATATAAACCAAGCATGTCAAAGTCACAGCCAGCAGGCCACATGCCGCGAATTTGACATGCTTGATATAAACCATTATTTAACTTTTTAAATGAACTAGGGGCTGAACATGTGACTTATAAAGATTTATTCATTCATTCTATTTGCTTCTAAGTAAATGGAGAACGAGGAAATTCCCTAGTGCTTTCTAGAGAGTCTCTGGAGTTTTTCTATTGAATTGAAATCACTTTGGGAAAAATTGTTCTCTTTTTATTAGATAACATTCTGGGTATTCATTAATACTATAGTAGAAGTTAGGAGGAATAACATAAAACTAGATTGGTATATTTGGAAAAGAAAGGTGGAGGAAATAGACTAATTGGATATGGTTTGACAACAAATACAAGCCACTTCCTCTGCCTTCAGCTCAAGAGGGGAAATGAGGTGAATCTGAGAAATGTTCCATAAGTTATTTTAGTTGAGTAAAATAAAATTTTATGTGTAACTAATTGTGATAAGCTTCTTAAAGAAATAAAAGAACATGATTTTTTTTAATATATAAATATATATATATTTTTATTATTGATTTCAGAGAGGAAGGAAGGAGAGAGAGATAGAAACATCAATGTTGAGAATCATTGATTGGCAAGCCCCCTGCTGGGGACCAAGACCTCAACCCTGGCATGTGCCCTTGACCAGAATCGAACCTGGGACCTGTCAGTCCGCAGGCCGACGCTCTATCCACCAAGCCAAACCAGCTAGGGCAGGAACGTGATTTTTAATGCACACAGTTTCTATTGTCTGTGGTGCATTTTTTTAAAATATATTTTTATTGATTTTAGAGAGGAAGAGGGAGAGAGAGAGAGAAACATCAATGATGAGAGAGAATCATTGATCGGCTGCCTCCTGCACAGACCCCACTGGGGATTGAGCCTGCAACCTGGGTATGTGCCCTTGGCCAGAATCAAACCTGGGACCCTTCAGTCCGCAGGCCGATGCTCTATCCACTAAACCAAACCAGGTAGGGCTCTGTAGTGCATTTTTAATGCAGTTTCTTATTATCTAATGGCCACCGTAACAAGAAGGAATCTTCAGACCAAAAGAGGAAGGAGAATTAACAGAATATAACAATTTATATTGAAATCTGGTTATTGCAGTCCTGTGTGGATGCTGATGTATCCTTTCCTGAGTTTTCAATATGTTTGGCTAAAGAAATTGTCTTTCATAAGCACACTGAAACTAGGGTAATTTACTTATGGGATGATTGGACTTGAGCCAGCAGACTGCCTAGTAGTTTTGCACCAATTCTCCTCAAAATTAACTTGATAAGCAAGTTAGTATTGCAGTATTTAATATATTCTGGAAATTATGTAATGCCATAAATATTATAATGGCTTCCTCAAATTAAAGGAGCTATTTTAAAGCAGTAGTTTCTGTAATATTTTAAAAACACAGTTGTGACTAAAATATGTTTAAAAGCTAAAAGCATGTGTTTCTGTATTTGAGGTAAAATTTACTGTATTTTGTTTTCCTTAGGTTACTTTATATGAATGTCACTCACAAGGAGAAATCCGGCTATTGCAATCCTATGTGGATGCTGATGTATCCTTTCCTGAGTTTTTAATATCTTTGGCTAAAGAAATCGACTTTCATAAGTACACTGAAACTTTTCTCAATTAATTAGTTCCCCAAAGTTATATTGTTCTTTCTTAACCTTAAGCAATGCTATTCCTTCACTACCATCCAAGAGATTTCTGGTATCTAGTTTTCCTCGTCCCTAGAAATCCATTGTAGTATGGATATGAGAGAGAATGGTGCAGGTGACTGGAGATGTTTATTGGAAATCCAGTAATAGAAAATTAGAATAGTTAAAACCTCCTGTTTTTTTGTTTTGTTTTTTACCTTGCCTAGAATTTTATCATTTCAAAGTAGTTATATTGATGAACTTGAGTTGATCAGAAGCTAGGACTGGAAATCATGCTAAGTATTTGATCAATAAAGCCTACAGGGAAAAACATATATCCAGTTTGTTTAGAAAGTAAAATATTGCAAAACATGGGTTCATAAAGATAAAGACTTAAAAACCCAAAGGGATAGATAGAAAAGCTTGTTGATAAGATTTTTCTTCTAGATCCATTTGAAAAACTTAGCAAACAAAAAAAGACAAGGACTTTTCAGTCTTCCCTAGATAATATGGAAAGAAGTGACCTGTAGCCATACTGGAAAGGTCTCACACAGGAAAAAGTGGAAAAATGAATAGTAAGTCATCTTTAGAGGCACAGAGAACTATTGGGGTAGGGCAAGAGTCTGCAAAGTACAGCCCCTGGGCCTGGCCATCTGTTTGCTTTTGCTTTTTTTATTAGGTAATGGTCCACCCACCTGTTTTGTAAATAAAGTTTTATTTGGACACAGCCATACACATCCTTTACATGTTGTCTGGCTGCTTTCAAACACAAAGTTGAGTTATACAAATAGCTAAATAGTTAATTAAAATGCAGTGGAAGGACTGGTTTTGTTCTATCATTTTGTATAAGTTTTAGACCTAAAAATTTCCATTGTTTAAATCTGGTGATAGAATAATAAGAACTTCTGTGTCAAAAACTTTAGCAGGTCTTTGGAGGTTTCCATGTATTATAATCGTTTATGTATGTATTTACTTTTGAAAAACAAATTACATTTCTTAACCAGCATTTGTAGGCTGATGAAAACTTTTACACTTGTGCATGGACATATGATAGCAATACAAGCCATCCTCTGCTGGCTGTGGCTGGATCTAGAGGCATAATCAGGATAATTAATCCCATAACAATGCAGTGCATTAAGGTGGGCGTTCTTGTTAAATTGTAGATTTGCTTTCTTTTGAATGAACACCTGTGAAAATTTGTCAACTAAAGGAATCAGTGTCTACAATTTCTAATTTGATCTGTACTGTGCTTACTTCATCCTTTAGACAAGTCTTTTGATACCTTTGTTACAATTGGGTAATGCAAATTAAGTAATGAGTGGGAAAATTTTATTATTTACAATATTTTCTTTTTTTCTACCTCGCCTTATTCCGAGAGACTCTGAATGAAGAATAACAAAAGAGTGAGTCCATTCTCACACACCCTAACTAGGGTTTTGAAGCCTTGAAAGTTGATATTAAGTTTTACAAATCAATTTAATTAGAAGTTTTAAACCCTGAGAGCACAATACAACCACATGAGGATCTTTTCCATCTTTGCCTTGCCTCTGCTATTCCAGTCAAATCAGATTATCAGCAGGTGGGACTTGAGCATTTTTTATTTTTTTCCCTTCAAATTTGTTGGGTGATTTTATTTTATTTTTTTATGCATTTTTTTCTTTGTTGGATGGTTTTAATATGCAGCCAATGTTGAAAACCACTACTTTAAGCAAAACGAGTTTTTCATTCTCTTAAAATTAATGAAAAATAATTTATTTTTCTTAGCAAACATTAATTCACAGATTAAATATTTTACAATAGAATTTGTTATTGTATATGAAAGTTGATATGTTTTAAATTTATTGTAGCACTATGTTGGGCATGGAAATGCTATCAATGAGCTGAAATTCCACCCAAGAGACCCAAATCTTCTCCTGTCAGTCAGTAAAGGTAAGAGAAGGAAATTATTTTTTACTATTTTTTTTAAATTTGAGGATATGTTCCTCCCATTGATTTCAGAGAGAGAGAGAAGGGGAAGAGGTAAAGAGAGAGAGAGAGAAACATCAATGTGAGAGAGAAACAGATTGGTTGCCTTCTGAACTCTCCCTGAACCCACATACTCCGAAATCTGGATATGTGCCCTGACTGGGAATTGAACCTGAGATCCTTCGGTGCACAGCACAATGCTCCAGCCAACTGAGCCACACTGGCCAGGGTAGAAATGATTATTTTTTAAGAGAGAAGCATAATTGGTACTGAGGATTAGTTATGCTACCCTTATTTACCATATTGCATTATGATAATTCTAGAACTTTATCCTTAAATGAAATTTTTTTCAGTTGAATTATGTTCATCATCATTTTTAAAAAATATTTTTATTAATTTCAGAGAGGAAGGAAGAGGGGGAGAGAGAGAGAAACATCAATGATGAGAGAGAATTATTGATTGGCTGCCTCCTGCATGCTCCCCACTGGGGATTGAGCCTGCAACCTGGGCATGTGCCCTTGACCAAAATCGAACCTGGGACCCTTCAGCCCGCAGGTCAATGCTCTATTCATTGAGCCAAACTGGCCAGGGCCATCTTCATTAATTTTAAGTGGCAGATTACCAATTCTTTTTTTAAAATTTAAATTCTTTATTGTTTGAAGTATTACATATGTTTCCTTTTTCCCGCATTGACCTCTCCCCGGCCACTCCCACCCCTCAGCACACGCCCCTACTGTCTGTGTCCATGGGTTATGCTTATATACATGCATACAAGTCCTTTGGTTGATCTCTTACCTTGCCTTCCCTCTGAAATTGGATGGTCTGTTCGATGCTTCTATATTCTGGATCTATTTTTATTCATCAGTTTATGTTGTTCATTATATTCCACAAATGAATGAGATCACATGATATTTATCTTTCTCAAAAATTATATTTTTAAGAATTTTTAAGATAGTTTTGCAACTATCACTCTATTCAATCATGTAATAAGCAATAATGCATCTGAAAATCTATGTTGCCTTTATATATAAAAACTTTTGTTTTATAAAGCATTCCCTATTGCCCAGCCGGTGTGGGTCAGTGATTGAGTGTCGACCTATGAACCAGAGGTCACGGTTCGATTCCTGCTCAGGGCACATGCCCATCTTGGGCTCAGTCCCCAGTGTGAAGCATGTAGGAGGCAGACAATTACTTTCTCTCATCAATGATGTTTCTGTCTCTCTTTCTTCCTCTCTGAAATCAATAAAAATAAATTTTTTTAAAAAAGAAAATGTTTATTTTGGGAAATTGACACCTAAGAACTGATGACTTTTTCTTGATAGCAGTAGTAGTTGGGCTCAGGTATTACTTTCCAAGTGACAGAAGCCAGAAAGCCGTACTTGTTCTACATATTACAACTTTTTAACACTGCTCTTTCTTCCCGTTGTGTCAGTGAGGTTTTTTTTTTGTTTGTTTGTTTTTTATCAAACAGCTTTTCAAATTAATAAGAATTTTGCTGCACACAATATCATTAAGAAAGTGAAAAGACAAACTACAGAATAGGAGAAAGTATTTCTAAATCATATATCTAATAAGGGACTTGTATCAAGAGCTCTTATAGTTCTACAGTAATAAAGCATCCAAATTAAAAAGTGAGTTGAATGACATCTTTCCAAAGAACATGCACAAATGTCTCGTGGGCACATGAAAAGGCACTCAATATCATTAATAATTAGGGAAATACTAATTAAAAACACCAGGAGCTACCACTTCACACTTGCTGGGATGGCTATAACCAAAGTTACAGTAACATGTTGGCTAATGTGGAGATACCCTTCTTCACCCCTATAGCTGGTGGGAATGTAAAATGTGGCCACATCAAAAAACAGTTTGGCAGTTCCTTATAGTTAAACATAGACTTACCATTCCTGGATATGTGTGTGTGTGTGTGTGTGTGTGTGTATGCAAGATGAATGAAATGTCCACATAAAATTTGTTCATAGTTGCAATCGAATTATTTTTATGGCAGTGTTTTATTCAACTACATATTAACATAATGTATTAGTCTAATATGTACATTACAATGAGTATAAATACATTGTCATTAGTGTAGTATGTTAATATTCATGTATAGTATGAACATTGTTACAGTTCAAGCTTCACATGGCATTTATATTATTGCTGTACATTATTTTGTTAATATTTAGTAGAAAATGAGATTGCTTGAATTACAGTTATAATTTTTATTTTTTTCTCCGTCAGTATGCTTCTTTTTATTTATTTATTTACTTATTTATTCATTTATTTAGAATATATTTTGATTGACATAGAGAGGAAGGGAGGGGGAGATAGAAACATCAACGATGCGAGAGAATCAGCCCTAGCCAGTTTGGCTCAGTGGATAGAGTGTTGGCCTGTGGACCTAAGGATCCTGGGTTCAGTTCTGGTTAAGGGCACATGCCTTGGTTGCAGGCTCTTCTTTGGGGTCTGGTTGGGGCTCCTACAGAAGGCAACCAACCGATGTGTTTCTCTCACATCAATGTTTCTCTCTGTCTTTCCCTCTCTTTTGCCCTCTCCCTTAAAATCAGTGGTAAAAATATCCTTGGGTGAGGACTTAAAAAAAGAGAGAGAGAGAAAATCATTGATCGGCTGCCTCCTGCACACCCCCTACTGGGGATCAAGCCCAAAACCCAGGCATGTGATCCCCTGGTTCATAGTCAGTGCTCAACCTCTGAGCCACACCAGTCAGGCTCAGTAGGCTTTATTTAGATTTACAAGAAATGGAATGCCAACTAACATGTCATCAGCCCTTTGAGGTCTTAAAGGTCTGTAATACTATAAAATTGTCCTGATATATACTGTATGTAGATTTCAATACTATTATTAGATTTACTGTAGAAATTTTATAAATCTACGCAGTCTGTCCTGGCCAGTGTGGCGCAGTTGGTTGAGCATTGTCTCATGCACAAAAAGATCAGTTCCCAGTCAGAGTATATGCCCAGGTTTCAGGTTCAGTTCTCCAGTTGGGGCACATGCAGGAGGCAACTGATGAAAGTTTTTCTCTCTCCTTTTTCGTCTCCCTTCCTCTCCCTCTTAAATTAATAAAAACACTCCAAAAATAATTCTATTCAGTCATCTTTTCTTACTCTTTTTGAATTATATATATATAATACATATATTATATATATGTATATGTGTATATATATATATATGTATGTGTGTGTATGTGTGTGTGTATTTTTTTTTATCCTCACCTGAGGATATTTTTTTCCATTGATTTCTAGAGAAAATGCAATGGAGGGAGAAGGGGGGGGAGAGATGGAGGGGCATCGGCATGAGAGAGAGACGTGGATTGGCTGCCTCCCACACTGGCTCCTACCAGGGCTGGGGAATCTGCAACCAAGGTATGTGCCCTTGACCCTTCAGTCTGAGGGCCAACGCTCTAACCATTGAACAAAATCAGCTACTCAGTCCTCTTTAATGTATAAATGGATATGGTGGAGGGCAGAGCTAATATTTTGTTCTGTGGCATAATGTAAAACTCTGTCAAACTCGGTAAATAAGGTAAAAATATTTTTAAAACTACAAGTATTTCTTTTCTTGAAAGTTTGTGCTGATACATACCTAACTCTGTATGTGATGTAAATGTTTTAAGTGATATGGGTTTCGTTATTAGTCTTTACTATTCATAAGTTAAGTCCACACTTGTGTTTTACTTTAAAGAGGTTTTGAACATTCACAGTAAATGAATGATAAAAATTCATCTTAATTTTTTTATTTCTATTCTAGATCATGCTTTACGATTATGGAATATCCAAACGGACACTCTGGTGGCAATATTTGGAGGTGTTGAAGGGCACAGAGATGAAGTTCTAAGTGCTGTAAGTTGAAAGCTGCAGGGCAGTGACTTTCAGGTGCACGTTGTGAACAATCCCCATCGAACTCTTTCATGAAACCATATGTTGTTGTTGTTTTTCATATAGCCTGGCAGACAGTCATTTCATTTACTTGTGATATGCAAGGTTTTTCTCTTATAAATGAAGGAATAAAGCAAGAAAGTCTCTTTGTATTTAATTTGTACTCATGCACATGAAAGAATACTAACTATGAACTTGTTTTTTTTCCTATATTGATCAAAAAAATCACCAAGTTATGTTTTGTTTTGCTGTTTCTCAGTTATTAAAGGAAAAGATTAAACTAGTTAGCAATTGCTGGGCACGGAGCTGCATGCCTGTAGTCCCAGCTGAGGAAGGAGGATTGCTTGAGCCCAGGAGTTCTGGGCTGTAGTGCACTATGCCGATCAGCTGACAACAGTAAGTTTGGCATCAATATGGTGACCTCCTGGGAGCTGGGGACCCCCAGGTTGCCTAAGGAGGGGTAAATGGTCCCAGGTTGGAAATGGAGCAGGTCAAAGCTCCCATGCTGATCAGTAGTGGGATCGCACCTATGAATAGTCACTGCACTCCAGCCTGGGCAACATAGTGAGACCATGTCTCTTAAAAAACACACAAACAAAAATAACTAGTTGGCAATTAAGAAAGTTTGTTTTATTTGCAGTTGAAATCTAAATTATTCATTTTTAGGAGTGTTTTATTGTGCACAGGCTGAATTTTGGATAGCTTTCTTTCTCATGGCACATTGTTATCTTTATAACTAGAGGCCCAGTGCACAGATTCATGCACTGGTGGGGTCCCTTGGCCTGGCCTGCAGGGATTGGGCTGAAACCAGCTCTCCGACATCCCCCGAGGGGTCCCGGATTGCGAGAGGGCACAGACCAGTCTGAGGGACCTCACCTGTGCATGGATCTGTGCACTGGGCCTCTAGTATGCATATAAGATCTTTGATTTATCCCTTCCTGCCCTCTTCCTTCCCCCTTTCTCTCTGATATTTATCAGTCTGTTCCATGTTTACATGCCTGTGGTTTCTGCTCCTGCGTTGAGCGTCTGCTCCCTGGTGGTCAGTGCATGTCATAGCTCCTGGCCGGTCAGCCGGTCGCTTAGGCTTTTATATAGAGAGATTTATTGATCTTTTATAATATAAGTGTTTTAGGTTTCATATTTTTACATTATTTTAGCTTTACTTATGTTTCATTCATAGCTTACTTAGTAGTTTTACAGCTATTCAGTCCTTATTCATTAAACTATGTAAAGGGGCACCATGTTTTGTTTTTTTTAAAATATATTTGTATTGATTTTACTGAGGGAGAGGGAGAGAGATAGAAACATCAGTGATAAGAGAGAATCATTGATTTGCTGCCTCCTGCACACCCCACTGGTTGATTGAGCCCGCAACCCAGGCATATGCCCTTGACCGGAATCAAACCCAGGACCCTTCAGTCCTCAGGCTGATGCTCTATCCACTGAGCCAAACTAGCTAGGGCAGGGGCACCACATTTTGAATCATGTAGCATTTTAATTGGAGGTACTTAGTGTTCCTATGGTTGGAGTTTGTGTGCTTTTGTGAGAATCATGCTCTGCCAACTTGGATTTTCTAGTAGTTGCAGTAGCAGTCTCTATTTGGCTTTTAAAGACTACCATTGTTTATTAAGAATTTCAAATTAGAGTTACTGGCACGAACAGTGAGTCAGTGAGTGCCTTGCTGCTGTTCACCAGACTGGTGAATTCAGTAAGCAACAAACCTAAAGTTCCTAAGCTCTTGTGAAACAGTGTTCACAATTAATCCAGAGGTTGGATTAACATATACTATCTAGGTGAGTAAGGAAAACATTTTCCTTAAATAGAACTCCCTACTCTTATTTCCTTTTATTTTTAATGGGAGTATTTTTCTTTATTTTTAAAATAGAATTTATTGGGCTGACATTGGTTAATAAAATTTTATAGGTTTGAGTTGTACAATTCTATAATACATCATCTGTATATTGTATTGTTGGTCCATCACCATCTACTGTTATTTCTTAAAATGAGAACAGGTGACAGTCTGTATTTCTTTTCTATAATACAGGAGTTCACTGTTAGAAGAATTAATATATGACGCATGTATCATGTGCTAAATTAAATAGCATCCATGTACCACAGTGTCTTATCCATGAAATAAGGTGGTTATAATAGATATTTGTTAGATGCCTATTAAAAATTAGTGAACAGCAAATGATAAATTTACATTGTTTCCCTTTTTTAGACATTTTTAAAAATTCATTTAAAAAGTGAACTCTTAAGACCAGTGTAACTGAAGATTTTGACTTACAACACAGATAAAATTTTAGTTGTTTAGTAGCTGCACATACAGATGTCAGTTTCATTGCTTGATTAGGGTTGGACAAAGAAAAGTAATATAACTATTCAGGTTTTATGTCATACATCAGCATTTAAATTTTTTTTAATCCTCACTATAGGATATTTTTTCCAGTGATTTTTTTTTTCCCCTCTTAGAGTGGAGGGAAGGGAGGGAGAGGGTGGGGAGAGAGAAACATCACTGTAAGAAAGAGACATTGATTGGTCGCCTACAACACCCACCCCGACCTACTGGCCGGGATCAAGCCTACAAACTGAGGCTCGTGCCCTTGACCGGGAATAGAACCCCAGACTCTTAGATCTGAGGGCTGATGCTCTAACCAGTGAGTTAACTGGCTAGGGCTTGGCATTCAGTTTATCTTCAAAATCAAGCAAAGAAAATATTTTAAAGTTCATTGAAAGATAAATGGAATTTAAACACTATTTTTTGCTTTCCTTAGCTTACAAGCTCATCTACTGTGGTGGTGACAAATCACTTAAAACTAAATTTTTTTTTTTTTAAATATATTTTACTGATTTTTTACAGAGAGGAAGGGAGAGAGATAGAGAGTTAGAAACATCGATGAGAGAGAAACATCGATCACCTGCCTCCTGCACATCTCCTACTGGGGATATGCCCGCAACCCAGGTACATCCCCTTGACCGGAATCGAACCTGGGACCTTTCAGTCCGCAGGCCGACGCTCTATCCACTGAGCCAAACCGGTTTCGGCTTAAAACTAAATTTTGAGAGCAATAAAAACTGTTTTATTTTCTACATAGATGAAACCCAAAATGTTAGTGTTGTGGTTTGAAATTTTTCACAATACTGTACATAGGTGAAAACTGAATAGTATAGTTTGGAAAAATAATTTAAATGTTTAACTTAAGCTTTTTGTTTTACATACAGGATTATGATCTTTTGGGTGAAAAAATAATGTCCTGTGGTATGGATCACTCTCTTAAACTTTGGAGGATTAATTCAAAGAGAATGATTAATGCAATTAAGGACTCCTATGATTATAACCCAAATAAAACTAACAGGTAACATTTGTGGCATTTAAAACAAGTATCTCATGCTGTGAAATAGATGGGTCTTACTTTTTCCAAAATTGTTATATAAGTCCCCAACACTGAGTTTAGAAGTTAACTTTAAAAACTTTATATATCATAAAATTCACAAATTTTCAACGGAAGCCATTATTTTTAATCTAATATATTTATGTTTCATTTTTTTAAAATCGGCTTTACATTGTATTTTCTCTAACTTAGTAGCACATTCTACTTAGTTTCTTTCAGTGTAAATTTTAATTCAGTACAGTAAACCTTTTTTTAAAATGGGGTTCTTAGCTTTAATTCATGTTAATATAATGCTTTCCTTTAATTGCTACTCATTTCATTAAGTGGAGAAATTTCAAAAGTGGGAGCCTTGCTCCCTGAGACTAAGAAGTGGGAACTTTGCAATGTTCTTCATATATTTTTGTTTTGTTTGTTCGTTTTTTGTTTGTTTGTTTTTAATGGTTATCTTCATATATTTTTGAAATGCCTCAGTTCTTGACTCAATAACTATCTTTTCAGAATCTTATTTAGCCTATTAATATAATACTTTGACCATAGTTATCATGTTTGTGTATATTAACTTTGTTTGCACTTTGTGTTTTAAGCAAAGCTAGAATTTTCTGGTGATCAAATCAGACTATTAATAGATTATTAGTTAAATTTGTAGCCATCAGTAGATAATTTCATTGCACTTATATTCATCAAACTTCAGTGGCCTCTAATAATTAGCACAACTTTCAGATTTCTATTTTAAAACACCAAAAGCTTATACAGTCCTAAATTTACGTTTTTACATTTTCTGGAGCTCTAGAATACATAGAAATTATATTTCACAGTTTACAAAAAAACGGGGTTATGCTGGTCTTCTCCTTGAAAGGTTTAATAATAGTTTATAATATGTATTTGATTTAAAAGCAAATAATAGCCTAACCCATGTGGTCACTGGTTTAGCATTAACCCATGAACCAGGAGGTCATGGTCCGATTCCTGGTCAGGGCATATGCCCAGGTTGCAGGCTCAGTCCCCAGTGTGGGGAGTGCAGAAGGCAGCCAATCAATGATTTTCTCTCATCATTGATATTTCTATCCCTCTCTTCCTCTCCCTTCCTCTCTCTGAAATCAGTAAAAATATTTTTTAAAAGCAAATAACATAATTATAGCAGAATTAAGCATTTAGTAGATCATTAATAATATTTTAACTTTTTTAAAGATTTTTGTATTCACTTTTAGAGAGAAAGAAAGGAAAATGTTGATGATGTGAGAGCAAAACATTGATTAGCTGCCTCCAGCACGCCCTCCCCCTTCCATCTGCCCCCAACTGGGGACCTAGCCTGAAACCTGGGCATGTGCCTGACTGGAAATCAAACCAGGGACCTTTCAATGCACAGAATGACACCCAACCAACTGAGCCACACCAGCCAGGGCTAATAAAAGATCCCAGAATTTGTATTGGAAGGGATGTTAGAAATGATTCAGTCCAGCATTCTTGTGGGAAAAGTAAAGAGAGGATTTGTGACTTGCCTGAGACATAACTAATTTCTGGCATATCAAACTTCTACAGTTATTTCAGTACAGAAAGTGAATCACTCGCTAGATTAGAAATGTTAGGTTTACTTTTAATTAACTGTAGGATTGGTAGCAACTTGTAGCTTACGGTCTTTACACAAACATTTTTAAGGGGGGAAATGCTACCATATTTTACTTTCTTCAATACAAAAAAAGTCCTAATATATGTCAGATTCCTGTCAGATACCATTTTCAAAATTGTTGCTCAAGGCAGTACTCTAATGTAATCTTACCTTTAGCAGCCTTTGGAATTATGTATCATTGTTCCTAGAAAAATGACCATCTTTTTTTTTTAATATATTTTTATTGATTTCAGAGAGGAAGGGAGTGGGAGAGAGATAGAAATATCAATGATGAGAGGGAATCATTGATTGGCTGCCTCCTGCACCCCCCCTCCCCCCCCCCTCCGGGATCAAGCCCACAACCCGGGCATGTGCCTTTAATTGGAATCGAACCCAGGACCCTTCAGTCTGCAGGCCAATGCTGTATCCACTGAGCCAAATCAGCTCCAATAAAATGACCATCTGTTGAAATAACCCAGATGTGTTGACTTTCGTAGTCTAATTTTATTTATTTTTGTTGTTAATCCTCACCCGATGATATTTTTCCATTGATTTTTAGGAATAGTGGAAGAGAGAGAAAGAAAGACAGAGAGAAACATCGATGTGAGTGAAACACATAGGTTGGTTGCCTCCTGCACAAGCCCCGACCAGGGCCAGTGCCCAAGGAGACTGCAACCAAGGTACATGCCCTTGACCGGAATCAAACCCAGGACCCTTTGGTCCACAGGCTGACGCTCTGTCCACTGAGTCAAACCAGCTAGGGCTCATAGTTTAATTTTAAAGGATTGAGTAGGTATTTTCTGTAAAAATACTTCTAGGTCTATAATCAGATATCTTTGCTTATCATTGGTTAGGATAGCCAGAATTGATTAAATTTGGCCTATATATACATGGTATGGTATGAAGCTACAATTTTTATAAATGAAATTGCATAGGATAAAAACAAAATTGAATTGAGCTGATAATGGAAAAAAATATAGAAACAAAAATGGAGTAAGACTGTAGCTCTCAATAGAAAGATAAGGTATTCAGTTTTCTAGGATCAAAGAAAAATCATCATGCATTTTATTTTTCAAAGTTTATAAATCCAAAAATAAAAGTTAGTGTGATTCGACTATACTTTTTTCTCTTAACTTTTACATTTCCATTTCAGGCCATTTATTTCTCAGAAAATTCACTTTCCTGACTTTTCTACCAGAGACATACATAGGAATTATGTTGATTGTGTGCGATGGTTAGGTGATTTGATACTTTCCAAGGTATGGTAACTGCTGTTAAGCTGTACTTCCATTGTTTGTGTGAGTTGGATTTTTTTTTTTTTTTTTTAGGGAGCTCGATTTTTAATGCAGTTTGGTAAATTGGATGGCAAATTGGGAATTGCTTTTTCTTTTCTTTCTTTTTTTAATTTTTTTTTAGTCTCATGATATTTTGATAAGTTTGGAAACTTGTTCTAGGCATAAGACATTCCAATGAATTTTATAATTTGTGCTCCAATAAAATGAAAAATTTTCATTTGTAAGATGATATTGTTGTGATAATCAGTGTTATTATAAAATAACCAATATCTAAAGCTAGTAGTAGGGTTGTTTTTTTTTTTATGTTTTGTGTCCATTTCAATACACTTTACATTTAAAGAAACAGACAGCTGGAGCTGGCTCATGGACTGTAGTTTGCCAACCCCTTCTCTAGCATGTTGATGTATATATGTATCCTTCACTGATAATTTAGAGAAGTTGTTGGTGATGTCATCTGAACATTTGGGATTGTTAAATTTGGAGAAATTGCTAGTTTCTTGTGTGGATTTCAGGTCATTTCACATTTTCTTGGCAGAGCCTAATCTATTTTTTTCTTGACTTGCAGCTAGTTTTATTTTATTTTATTATTATTATTATTATTTTTTTTTTTGCTTATTTAAACTTTTGATCTTGAAGTTAGATTCACAGGAAGTTTGAAAGATAGTACAGAGAGGCCCCTTCACCCAATTTCCCCCAATGGTTACATAACTATAATACAATATATAAAGTCTTGACATTGTACAATGTGTGTGTGTCATTTTATCACATGTGATTTTGTCATTGTAAGAATGTTACAGTATGGCGCTTTTTAAGATTTTTTTTTTCCATTCATTATAATGCCATCCAAGTTGTTGTGTGTCAGTACTTCTCCCTTTTTATTGCTGAGTAGTATTCTATGGTATGGGATGTACCACAGTTTATCTAGCCATTCATGTATTGTAGGACATTTTGGTCCTTTCCAGATTGGGGCTATTAAACATAAAGCTGCTAATGAACAATCGTATATAGGTTTTGTGTGGACTTACTTAAGTTTTCATTTCTCTGGGATAAATGCCTAGAAGGGCAATTGCTGGGTCATGGTTAAGTTTGTTTAGTTTTTTAAGAAACTGCCAAACTATTTTCCAGAGTGGCCGTGCCATTTTACATTCCCACCAGAAATGTATGAAAGATCGAGTGTCTCGGAAGCTTCGCCGGCATTTGGTATTGTCACTATTTTTTATTTTAGCTGTTCTGATAGGAGTGTAGTGATATCTCATCGTGGCCTTAATTTGCATTTCCCTGATGGCTAGTGATGTTGAACATCTTTCATGTGCTTATTTACCGTCTAATATATCCTTTTTGATGATGTCTCTTCACGTCTTCGCTCATTTTCTAATTGGATTGGTTTTTGTTTTTATTTTTACTGTTGAGTTTTGAGAACTCTCAATATATTCTAAATATGAATCCTTGTGTCAGATGTGTAGTTTGCAAATATTTTCTTCCAGTCTGTAGCTTGTCTTTTCATCCTCTTAACAAGGTCTTTAGCAGAACAGATGTCTCTAATTTTGATGAAATTCAATTTGTTGATTTTTTAAAAATTATTTTATGGATCATGTTTTTGATGTGTTTAAAATGCTCTTTACTAAGTCAATAGATCCTAGAGATTTTCTCCTGTGTTTTCTTCAAAAAGCTTTATATTAAATATATGATCCTTTAAAGTTAATTTTTTTATGAGGTTTAGGTAGAAGTTTATTTTTTGCCTATAGGTTTCCAATTGTTTTAGCACCACTTATTGAGAGACTAATCTTTCTCCTTTTAATTGCTTTTGTACCTTTGTCAAATTGTTTGGACATACTTGTGTGAGGATCTTTCTGGTTTTTCTTTTTTGTTCCAGTACTCCACCAGTACTACATACACAGTTTTGATTACTTTAGCTCTATAATAAATCTTGGAATGGGTAGGTAGAGTGATTTCTTCCATTTTATTATTCATTTTTACAATTATTTTATTCTGTTGCTTTGCCTTTCCTATAAATTTTAGAATAATCTTGTCTACACCTATAAAAAATCTTGCAGAGTTTATTTGCAGGGAGGTGGGGGGATTTTGCTCAGAATGGTGTTAAACCTATCTGACATTTTGGTAGGGAATTATTAATATCTTGGAATTTTCTGCATGGACCATCTTGTCATTTGAAAATAAGTTTTATATCTTCCTTTCTGATCTGGATGCTTTTTATTTCCTTTTCTTGCCTTATTGCACTGGCAGACTTCCAGTACTATGTTGATTAGAAGTGTTAAGAGCAGACATCTTGACTTATTTCTGATATAAAGGAGAAAAATTTTTAATCTTTTACAATTACGTGTATTAGCTGTATAGTTTTGTAGATATTCTCTATCAAGTTGAGAACTGTCCCCTTTTCCTAATATTTTTAGTTCTACCATGAGTGGGTGATGACTTTCGTTAAGTGCTTTTTCTGTATCCATTGATATGATCATGTGGTTTCTTCAGTCTGTTAATGCAGTAGATTGCATTGAATTCTCTTTGCTAATATTTTGTTAAAGATTTTTGTGCGTGTAGTCATGAGGTATGATGCTGAAGTTTTCTTTTTATGCCGTTTTTGTCTGGTTTTGGTATCGAGAATACTGGCTTCATAAAATGAATTTCAAGTCTACCCTCCTATTTTCTTGAAGAGATTATATGGAATTGGTGTTAATTCTTTAAATGGTTGATAGACTTCTCCAGTTAAATCATCTGAGTCTAGAAAACTTTGAGGGGGAGTTTTTAAAACACAGATTCAATTTCCTTAATAGTTAAAGGACCATTCAAATTAGCTATTTCATATTAATGAATTTTTACTGGTAATTTTTCTTGTATGAGGAATTGGTCCATTCCATTTAATGTAAAATTTATGTGTATGGAGTTGTTTGTAGTAGTCCTTTATTATCCTTTTTATATCTTTAAGGTCTCTAGTGATAGCCTGTTTCATTCCTGAAATTGGCAATTTTTCTTTTTATGAGTCCTGCTAGGGGTTTGTCAGTTTAAAAAAATTTTTTGCTTGCTGTGGGTATATTTTGCACTTTTACTAGTTTTTTAAGGTGGGAGATTCGATTATTGACTTGAGACTCTTTTAATGTAAGCATTTGGTGCTATGAATTTCCACCAGTACTGCTTTAGCTGCATCTCACAAATTCTGATAAGTGTATTGTGTAGTTACTAGGTGTTGGGAGACATTTTTGTTACCTTTCTGTTCTTCATTTCCAGTTTGATTTCACTGTCAGAACGCACTGTTTATTATTTTGATTATTTTTTTCAGATATGCTTCATAACCCTATTTTTGGTTTGTTCCATGGGAGCTTGAAAAGAATGTATAGTCTGCTATTGGGTGGAGTGTTCTGTAAATATCGTTTAGTTCCTATTGGTTGATGATGTGATTGAATTTATATCTTTATTGATTTTTCTACTCATGTTGTTATTGAGAGATGAGTTTGGAAGTCTCCAGCTATTATTGTGGCTTTTTCCTTTTTAGTTCTATATCTTGCAGCTCTGTTGGTTGGTGCTTACACATTTTGCTATGCCTTAGTGGCTTGACCTTTTATCATTATGTAATGTCCACCTCTAGTAATTTGCTTTGAAGTCTCCGTTATCTGGGAGTAATTTAGTCCATTTTGCTTTCTTTTGATCAATGTTTGCATGGTATATCCTTTCCCAACTTTTTTCTTTTAATGTACATATGTCATTATATCTAAAGTGAGTTTCTTGTTGGTGGCATATATACTGAGTGTCCAGATTATTATGACCACCTGACGTTTGTTGGCAAATTAGCTATAATTTCGCACTGAAGTTGCTAGAGGGCCAGACCAAATAAATAAGGAAGCAGGTTGTTTACCATGACAGAAGTGATTTTTTTCTGAAGATATGGGTAAACAATGCGATTTAACAGCCTTTGAACATGAGTGGCCAGATTATGACCACCTGACGTTTGTAGGCAAATTAGCCGTACACTGCATCATATGGGATATGGAAGCTGAAGGCCTGTTCGAACACCTTTGCTGTCTACAGTTACCAAGATAAAACATCTCCAGTTCGCACAGGAACACAACACAAGGCTTGGACAGTCGAGCATTGGAAAAAAGTCATGTGGTCCGATGAATCACGTTTCCAGTTGCATCATGCAGGTGGCAGAGTGAGAATTTGACGGAAATGGCATGAAAGCATGCACCCACATGCATGAGTTCAACCCTTCAAGCTGGTGGGGGCAGTGTTATGGTTTGGGGCATGTTTTCCTGGCATGATTTGGGCCCTTTAATTCGTGTGGAACAAAGTCTGAATAGCACAACATACCTAAGTATCCTTGCTGATCAGGTTCATCCTGTCATGTTGCTGGCGTATCCCACTGGAGATGGCTTTTTCCATCAAGACAGTGCGCCTGCCGGAACCGGTTTGGCTCAGTGGATAGAGCGTCGGCCTGCGGACTGAAAGGTCCCGGGTTCGATTCCAGTCAAGGGCATGTACCTGGGTTGCGGGCACATCCCCAGTAGGAGATGTGCAGGAGGCAGCTGATCGATGTTTCTCTCTCATCGATGTTTCTAACTCTCTATCTCTCTCCCTTCCTCTCTGTAAAAAATCAATAAAATATATTTAAAAAAAAAAAAAAAAAAAGACAATGCGCCATGCCACGGTGCTTGTATTGTGCAGGAGTGGTTTCAAGAACATGAGGGAGACTTTACTTTGCTTCGGTGGCCCCCACAATCACCAGATCTCAATCCAATTGAGCATTTGTGGGACGAAGTTAAAAGAGCCATTAGGCAGCTGGTTCCACAACCATCAAATCTCACAAAACTGGACAGTGCTATTCATCAGGCATGGTGTCAGATTCCTCACATCACCTTTCAGCATCTTGTGGAGTCAATGCTAAGAAGAATTGCTGCAGTATTGAAGGCAAAAGGTGGCCCAACAAAGTACTGATGGGGTGGTCATAATAATCTGGCCACTCATCATAATATATATCCCACGTTCAAAGGTGGTTAAATCACGTTGTTTACCCATATCTTCAGAAAAAAAAAATCACTTCTGTTGTGGTAAACAACCTGCTTCCTTATTTATAATGGTCTGGGCCTCTAGCAACTTCAGTGCGAAATTATAGCTAATTTGCCAACAAACGTCAGGTGGTCATAACAATTTGGACACTCAGTGTACTTGCGTCATGTTTTTTAAATCCACACTGTCAAACTTTTAGTTGGTATATTCAGACCATTTATATTTGAGCCTTAATATATCAATTATTACATAATTCTGCCTTTTAATTTCTCTGGGTTTTTTTTCTCCTAAGTTTCTGTAGGTTGTGTGAACATGTTTTAGAATTACACTCTTATTTGCCTGTAGTATTTTTTAGTATATTTCTTTGTTTAGCCTTTTTGGTTTGCCCTATGTGTTATATATATGGTATATCGATATATCTGTGATATATATACATTCGACGTTAGGACAGTGGTTCTCAACCTTCTGGCCCTTTAATTACAGTTCCTCATGTTGTGACTCAACCATAAAATTATTTTCGTTGCTACTTCATAACTGTAATGTTGCTACTGTTATGAATCGTAATGTAAATATCTGATATGCAGGACGGTCTTAGGCGACCCCTGTGAAAGGGTCGTTCGACCGCCAAAGGGGTCGCAACCCACAAGTTGAGAACCGCTACCTTAGGACAATATGGTGGTTTAGAAGATGCTGACCTCCATGCAGTCAAAAATCTGTGTGTAACTGCAGTTGATCCTCTGCATATGCCGAGTCTCACCTGCAGATTGAAAATACCTTTTTTTCAATAGACCTGCACAGTTCATACCTCTGTTGTTCAAGGATCACCTGTATATCAGTCTACTTAACTGTAAATCAACATTTTACCCTTCAAGTGAGGTGTAGAAACTTTCCTTTACTTCACTTTTCCCTCTACTTACAATTGTCTGAAACATTCCCTTTAGAATGAAGAACTACATCAAATAGTATTACAGTTTTTGCTTCAACCATTAAATGTAATTTAAAAACTCAAGAGGGAATGGTGAATATTGTATTTACTCATTTTGCATTTTTTTGTCCTTCTTAATGTTTGATGTTTCAAGAACCCTTCATAATATCATTTTCTTTCTGTTCATAAAACTTCCTGTAGCCATTCTTTTAGGGTAGGTCTGCTAGTGACAAATTACCTTCATTTTTCATAGTCTGAGAATGTCCTTATTTCCTCTTCATTCCTTAAAGGTATAGTCACTGTATATAGGATTTTGTATTGCAATTCTTTTCTTAAATATTTGAAAAATGTTGTGGCTCCTCTTTCTGGTTTCCATGGTTTCTGATGAGAAATCTACCATCATTGGAATTATTCTTTCTGTCTTAAATGCAATCAGGATATTTTTTTCTTTGTGTGGCGTTTCCAAAAGTTTGACTATGATGTATCTTAACACAAATTTCTTAAAGTTTATCTTTTTGGGGTTCACTCAACTCCTTGAATTGAAGTATTTTTATGATGGCTACTTTAAAACCCTTGTCAGATAGTGCTAACATTTATGTCATCTCTGGGTTGACATCTGTTTTCTCATTAAAGTTGAGACTTTTATGTTTTATTTATTTATTTGTAGAGTACATTTATTAAAGCTGGGGACAGTGGAAAAAAGGGGATTTAGAGTAGAAGCAGCAACAGGAGAGCCTAGGTGGGGCTGCTATTGTCTCCCTGAAATTAGAGAAAAGGGGCCTTGAGGACAGGTTCAGTGGTTTTGCTGCCCACTCTTCCTCTCGTTGCAAGTCCCATGGGGACTCCAAGAGCTTAAAAAAAGTAGGTGCCTTACAAAAGGGCATGGGCACGCTCCAAGGAGAGCGCTGAGATTGAGATCTGGATATTTTGGGTATTATGTTACAATCTCTGGGTCTTTTATTTAGATCTACATCAGGCTTCCTCTGATAAATTTTCTTCAACTGGGGAGGGGGAGCACTGCTTCATGATTGGCAGGTAGCAAGGGAAGTTCACGTTCTCCCCTTGATTGGGTGATGGTGTTTCATTATTGCTGGGATGGGAGTTCAGGCTTTCCACTGCAGCTCAGGTGACACCACCCTAGCAGAAGGGGCTGATGGGACTCATTACTGCTCCTCAGGTGGTCTCCACTGACACTGTAGATGGTATCCTCTGATCCCACCCCAGCCAAAGAGAAGGAAGAGTCACCTCATTACAGAGCGAGTCAGGGTTATTATGTACTGAGATGTTTAGTTACTACCTGGGAAGGGTTTCCCACTGAGTTTTTGCTGGACCATATAGGTGCAGGTCCACAGTTGGTTTGGGGTGTTTTTTTGTTTTGTTTTGTTTTTGGTATTTGGCTGTAGTTACAGAATTTGTTTGAAAATTTTCTCTCTTGCTACGTTGCCATTTCCTGGTCTCTTGTAGAGAGCAGGCTTTGGGGACTAGGATGTTGGGTTTGTTTTGTTTTGTTTTTGTCTGCCTAGCTTCACCCGTTAGAATTGTTGAGTTGCTGACTTTTCCAGCATCTTGCCTGAGATACATAAATGAGGGAAAAGAAAATTGGGGAGCTACATTTCCTGCATGTCCCAGGATACCTAATCATTCTGCCTCCTCTCTATTTTTTAGACTTTCTAAAGTTGTATGTAGTGGGACAAATAAGGGAATGTCTATCTAGTCTGTCATTTTGGAAGTAAAAAGGCTGTAAAATTTCTGCTCTTAGAACTTCATCAGATGGTGGGAAAGGATTTCTGCATTTTAAGTGAGAAGCTGAACTGAATAAATTACACTGGTGTCTCAAATCTGGCTCTGCATCAAAATCATTGGGAGAACATTGTAAAAATAGATTCCTAGACCTTACCCCACAGATTGTAAATCTGACACAAGGGCCTAGGAATGCGTAATTTTAAAAAGCTCTCTAGGTGATTTCGAGTACAGCCATCCATTAATGTGGGTAAATTCTTTTTACCTCCCTATGCTTTAGTTCTCCATGAGGGGACTCTACTAGGATCCTTTATCAATGTAGGCAATAAGAAGCACTTGAACAGCTATTTTACACTTCTGTTTCAGCCTCCTATCCCAAAGATTCTGATTAATTAGGGCTGGGCCAGGATGATTGAGAAAACTACAGGCTATCAACTCAACTGTGCACTTAGGGAAGAGTCATTTAGACTAGGTGATATCTAAGGTACTTTACAGTAAAGAACTTGTAAATAAATAGTCCTGGGATTTTATATAATTTGAAAAAGGCAAAGAAGGAAAAAAGAATGTTGTCCCCACCCTAAGTGTTTCAACGCTGGTCACCCCCACAGGGTTGCCACATGGAATTATGTAGGCTGTATCCTGTGAAACTTCACCTACACCAGTAATTTTCAGTCCTGACACCTGTTGAAATACATTGTAAGGTGTTCAGTAGCCTGTATTCAGTAGAGGCCAGAGAGATTGCCAGGTGTCCCTTAATGGCAAACCAGAGACCTACATAGTAATCTGAGTAGTGCCCACTGATTTGCAAATATTTTTCCATTATATTGTTTACCACTTGTTGCTTAAGTAGAATGTATGCAAAGATTTGAAGTTAGACGATAAGAAAGATATAACTTAGCCTATTTCAATCTCATCCTCATATCAATGTCTTAAAAGTAAACCACTGCTTTTATGCCTTGTACATATAATCTGGTCTCTAAATCCCTTTTTGTGAATTTCATAGGAAAGCTAATGAATGAGGATTTATAGTTAACAGATAAAGGGAACCAGTTGGATAGGGAAAGATGAAACTAGTGAAGTAAAAAGCAGGAGCCATATTGAAGAGCTATGCATTCTACTACACTGTAATTTTTACCTTTTTCTATAAAACACTTCAAGTCTCTGGATGCTAATGTATCAAGAGCTGGATTTGGTTTGGTTTGGTTTGGTTTGGAAAACAAATTGTGACTTTTAAAATAAATAGTTCAGACAGTGTAATGCCTTTGTATTGCCAAAATCTGTTAATAAATCAGACTTCTTATCCTCAAATGTGGACATTAACTCTACAAATATAAATGAATGTATATCACTTACTTAGATGGATAACCAGGTTCTATGAGCTGTCAGTTCTAAAATGATAATAGAGAAAAGCTTTGTTTCAGTATTTATAATTCAGTTCTACAAGTAATTTTTTTTTCTCATCTCTCTTTTAAAGTCTTGTGAAAATGCCATTGTGTGCTGGAAACCTGGCAAAATGGAAGATGATATAGACAAAATTAAGCCCAGTGAGTCTAATGTGACTATTCTTGGGCGATTTGATTACAGCCAGTGTGACATTTGGTACATGAGATTTTCTATGGATTTCTGGCAAAAGGTAGCAACATTTTTCCATTTTGAAATTATTTTACTTAAAGCCATGGTAATTTTAGTTTTCTCTGTTATGCATCTGTAGTTTTGAGACTCTTTCTTGATGGTTTGTATTAATTGTTTGGGCCTTTGATATTATTTATTCTATCCTTGTGGCTCTGAACACCATCTGCAATGCTTAAAAATGAAATTGACAGGTGTCAGGAGTGGTAGTTAGGTGTTTATTTTCTACAACATCTGTTACTAAAATTTAATGTTTTGGTGATTAAAATTAATGGTTTTATGTGTCTTTACCTCAGAAAAACTTCACAAACATGGAAGTTAGAAACAAAATAGTAGTTACCTAAATTTTTGAAGAAATTTGGTATTAGGTTTTTGTTGGTAATGAATTATCTGAGTATTTATATGAACATTTTTGGAAGATATTTCTATAGCTTTAGCTACAGTTTTTTTAAAAATATATTTTTATTTATTTCAGAGAGGAAGGGAGAAGGAGATAGAGATAGAAACATCAATGATGAGAGAGAATCATCAGTTGGCTGCCTCCTGCATGCCCCCTACTGGGGATTGTGTCCGAAACCCCAGGCATGTGCCCTTGACCAGAATTAAACCCAGGACCCTTCAGTCCCCAGGCTGATGCTCTATCCACTGAGCAAAACCAGCCAGGGCTGCTACAGTTCTTTAAGACATAATAAAGAGTACATGTATTATAGTGTAAATTGTAAAGCTCGTCATAAATTTGCGACATGCTTTCTTTCTTACTCAAGACACCTCTGTGAAGTATTAGTTGCTGTTATCCCCATTTACAAATCAGAAATATGAGATGCAAAGACGTAATCAAGAGCATAACCAGAGGATGGAGCTGAGGTTTTCCCAAAATAAGAAAGCTCTCTTAGGATTGCTTGAAATCTTTAAAGCTTATTTTAATAATTTGGTGGGGTTTTTTTAATATATTTATACAGATGCTTGCATTGGGCAATCAGGTTGGCAAACTTTATGTTTGGGATTTAGAAGTAGAAGATCCTCATAAAGCCAAGTAAGTATTTAGAAATTCCTGCCTTCGTATTCTTTTTTTTCTTGTTTCCAAATACTTCATAATTTGAAAGAACAGATCAGTGCACAAATAAAAGTACCATTAGACAGATCTTATGCAAGCTGTAATAGAAATAAAAACCAAGAACTCAAGAGATTAACTGTAGCTATTAGAGAACGTATACTATCATGCCCTCACTCTTTTTTACCTTCCATATCTTGTCTTTTGCTACACCAAATATAGAGGAAGTAACTTATACTTACAATGCCATCTTTAAATCATTTGTAATATTTGCATGTCTTAGAGTACTTTAAAATATTTTTTATTCTAATGATTGTTTTTCGTAAGTACCTGATAACAACTTATTTTTTTCATATAAGTTATATGGTGCCTATTGAATTTAAAATATACCCAGGTATTTTAAAATTTGAGATTGAGCTCTTAGTAAAGTATGTTCTGTTTTCAGATGCCTTCTGTATGCGTTGGGACAGCTAATCATTTTCTACTTTATTGTTTTAAGTTAGATATTGGCAACATTATGTATGTATGGTATTTTAACCTGTTGTCATGTTTTCTCCTTAGATGTACAACACTGACTCATCAAAAATGTGCTACTGCTATTCGACAAACCAGTTTTAGCAGGGATAGCAGCATTCTCATAGCTGTTTGTGATGATGCCAGTATTTGGCGATGGGACCGACTTCGATGAAATATTGTTCCTAATCAAATTAGAGTGTGTTTTCTGTGTATAGTAGAATTAATGTATCTTGCTAGTAAGGGCACATAGAGCATTTAGAGTTGTCTTTCAGCATTCAATCAGGCTGAGCTGAATGTAGTGATGTTTACATTGTTTACACTCTTTGTACTGTCTCCTGCTCAGACTCTACTGCTTTTAATAAAAATTTATTTTTATAAAGCCACGTGTTATTTTAGTTTATTTTTATTGTGATGAAAAGAAATGTTGAAAGTAATAAAATTATGCCTTATCTTTTTGTAATGATCAATTTCTTGTAGTTCACTTAACTGGAGTAGGCTATATAATGTAATAGTAAGTAATTATGTTTAAAATTTTAGAGTTGTAACAGTAATGTTCTAATAACCTATCCTTACAGTTAAAAAATATTGCCATTCAATTTACAACTTGGTCATTAGTTATAGTGGAAATATCATTAGAGCAAGGGAGGGTAGGGTATAGAAGCTTTGGTGTAGTGAGTTGAAAAATGGAAGAAATGGGGAGTATGTTTGTATAGTGAACTTCTATCCCCCTTTCTGGAAGGTTATTGGTTAAAAGAAATAAATAGACTGTCTTCTCTAAATAAACTTTGGTCCCACTTAAAAAAGAGGTCATAAAGTTGAGAGTAGTTGGCTATTTTGTCTCAAACATAGTGTTTTGCTTATGTTTATGGGCAAGAAACAGCAAGAGTGAGAATGAGATATGAAAGTCCAGAAAAATCCCCAAAGAGTTAGCACCAAGATGACAAGTGGAGGGTTTAACCTGAAGCAGAGCAAATGAAGAAAACCTGGGTGATTATAGAATAAGGTAGGAGGTAAAATGAGAGGAGCCAAGGTAAAATACAAAAGACTGAATTTTATCAAGTTTTTAAATTCATGAGCATATTTCTATAAAACCGTACCATCCCATGAACATACCATTATTTAATATCTTTTGGGATATGTTAATTCTAACTTCTATAAAAGTACATTTTTTTTTTATTTCAGAGAAGGGAAAGGGGGAGAGAGAGATGGAAACATCAGTGATGAGAGAGAATCACTGATTGGCTGCCTCCTGCACAAACCCCACTGGGCATTGAGCCGCAACCCAGGTATATGCCCTGACCATAACTGACATCCTGGTTCATAAGTTGACACTCAACCTCTGAGCCTCACCAGCCAGGCACTTCTAACTTTTTGCTATTATAAATAACTACAGGCCCAGTGCACGAATTCGTGCACCAGTGGGGTCCCTCGGCCTGGCCTGCGGGATCAGGCCAAAACTGGCTCTCCAACATCCCCCAAGGGGTCCCTGATTGTGAGAGGGCACAGTGCACGATCGGAGCTGGAGAGGGATTGCAGGAGGGCTCCAGGTTGTGTCCAGCCTGTCTCGCTCAGTCCCAATTGGCCAGACCCCGGCAGCAAGCTAACATACCAGTCAGAGCGTCTGCCCCCTGGTGGTCAGTGAATGTCATAGCGAGCAGTTGAGCGGTCTTAGCATATCATTAGCATATTATGCTTTGATTGGTTGAACGGCCTCCTGGATGTCTGGATACTTAGCATATTAGGCTTTTATTATATAGGATGTTTTGACTAACAGCCTACTACACAAAGTTTTTGTGTACTTCCCTGATTATTTCCCTAGGCTTATTTGTCAGAATTTGTTACTGAATGAAAGTGTATTTTTTAAAAAAATATATTTTGATTTTTTACAGAGAGGAAGAGAGAGATAGAAACATAGATGAGAGAGAAACATTGATCAGCTGCCTCCTGCACATCTACTGGGGATGTGCCTGCAACCAAGGTACATGCCCTTGACCGGAATCAAACCTGGGACCTTTCAGTCCGCAGGCCAAAGCTCTATCCACTGAGCCAAACCGGTTTCGGCGAAAGTGTATTTTTATTAAGGTTGTACCAGTTCACTTGCTCCAACAGTATATGTTAGTGCCCATTTCAGTTTTTTTCTTTTTAGTTCCTCTGTATATCTCTGTGTAGATCAGAGGCCTGCAAACTTTTTCATAAGTAGCCAGATAGTAAATATTTTAGGTTTTGTGAGCTATACAGTCTCTATCACGTCAACTCAACTCTGCTGCTATATATAATGTGAATGCAGCCACAGTATGTAAAGCAAGCATGTCAAACTCGCGGCCCACAGGCCACATGCCTCATTTATTTGGCTTGTGTTAGCCTTTGAATTTGACATACTTGATGTAAAGGAATGGGCCTGGCTGTAGTCCAGTAAAACAAATTATAAAAATAAGGACACTAGCTTTTAAAACCAAGTAGATAATGAAATAAGCTGCTCTGACAATTAAAACAATACACAATATACAGAGCACCGAAGATCAGATTTTGGAATTATCAGAAATAAAAGCCTCATTTAAATATGTGTACTCTCCTCATTCCTTGCTTATTCTTCATTTCAATTGTCACCTAATGCACTGTACTAGAGGCCTGGTGTATGAATTTGTGCACCAGTGGGGGTCCCTCAGCCTGGTCTGGGGATTCAGGCCAAAACCGGCTCTCCGACATCCCCAAGGGGTCCCATATTGCAAGAGGGTGCAGGCCAGGCCAAGGGACCCCACCAGTGCATGATCGGTGCTGGGGAGGGACTATAGGAGAGCTCCAGGGCGTGTCTGGCCCATCTTGCTCAGTCCCAATCAGCCAGACCCTAGCGGCAAGCTCACCTACCAGTCAGAGCGTCTTCCCCCAGTGGTCAGTGCACGTCATAGCTAACAGTTGAGCGGCCTTAGCATATCATTAGCATATTACGCTTTGATTAGTTGAATGGACGACCGGGCACTTAGCATATTAGGCTTTTATTATATAGGGTACTTATTTAATTTGTTGCAGTTTTTCCACTGGGATATAGGCTTTATGAGGTGGTGTTTTTTTCAAATATTTTTACTGATTTCAGAGAGGAAGGAAGAGAAAGAGAAACATCAATAATGAGAGAGAATCATCAATCCATACTGGGGATTGAGCCCACAACCCAGGCATATGCCATAATGGAATCAAACCCATGACCTGGTTCATATAGGTTGGCGCTTAACCACTGAGCCTCACCAGCCAGGCGGGCTGTAGTTTTGTTGTTTCCTATATAATTCCCAACACCTAGATCTGTCTTGCATGTAGTAGGTGCTCAATAAATATTTGTTGAATGAAACACTTAAACATGGGCAAGAAACATGAGCAAGCAGAGGCTACCAAGATGGACAAGGATTTGAAAAAAACAACTTTTAGGAATGAAAAGTGTAACTTGAAACAATGAAAAGAAATTAATGAACTGGAAAAGATCCTAAGAAATTACTGTATTTTTTCCATGTATAAGATGCCCCCCACTTTTCCAACCCAAGATTAAGAAATCAGTGTTAAACAGTTTGCTGGTTTTCCTTTTAAGGCCTTGTTTTTTGACATCTTTAAGGACTTGTTCTTCCTGTTTTCTCCACTGTCTGAATATACACTCAGTGGAAGGTGGTCCAAATTGTCTCTGCAACTCTATTTCCATGCTCTTTTGCATAGCTGATTACATTCAGTTTTAATTTTGCAGAGTAAAAAGTTCACTTACCGGTATTTATCTTTTTAGTTTTTGACATCTTTTTCTTTTTTAATAAATTAAATCTCTATTGTTCAGATTATTACATTCGTTCCTCTTTTTTCCCCCCCATAACTCCCCTCCTCCCAGTTCCCACCCCACCCTCCGCCCTAACTCCCCATCCACTGTCCTCATCCATAGGTGCACGATTTTTGTCCAGTCTCTTCCCGAATCTCCCACACCACTTTCCCCCCCAAGAATAGTCAGTCCATTCCCTTTCTATGTCCCTGATTCTATTATAATCACCAGTTCATTCTGTTCATCAGATTACTTATTCAATTGATTCTTAGATTCACTTGTTGATAGATGCATATTTGTTGTTCATAATTTATATCTTTACCTTTCTCTTCTTCCTCTTCTTAAAGGATACCTTTCAGCATTTCATATAATACTGGTTTGGTGGTGATGAACTCCTTTAGCTTTTCCTTATCGGTGAAGCTCTTTATCTGACCTTCAATTCTGAATGATAGCTTTGCTGGATAAAGTAATCTTGGTTGTAGGTTCTTGGTATTCATCACTTTGAATATTTTTTGCCACTCCCTTCTGGCCTGCAAAGTTTCTGTTGAGAAATCAGCTGACAGTCGTATGGATATTCCCTTGTAGGTAACTGAGTTTCTCTTGCTGCTTTTAAGATTCTCTCTTTGTCTTTTGCTCTTGGCATTTTAATTATGATGTGTCTTGGTGTGGTCCTCTTTGGATTCCTTTTGTTTGGGGTTCTTTGTGCTTCTTGGGCCTGTAAGTCTATTTCTTTCACCAGGTAGGGGAAGTTTTCTGTCATTATTTCTTCAAATAGGTTTTCAATATCTTGCTCTCTCTCATCTTCTGGCACCCCTATAATTCTGATGTTGGTACGCTTGAAGCTGTCCCAGAGGTTCCTTACACTATCTTCGTATTTTCGGATTCTTTTTTCATTTTGCTTTTCCGGTTGGGTGTTTTTTGCTTCTTTACATTTCAAATCTTTGACTTGATTCTTGTACTCCTCTGGTCTGCTGTTGGGAGTCTGTGTAATATTCTTTATTTCAGTCAGTGTATGCTTAATTTATAGTTGGTTCTTTATCACAACATCGAGGGTCTCATTAGATTTCTTGAGGATCTCACTACATTTATCGGCAGTTTCTAGAAAATTATTGAAAGACCTTAAAAGTGTGGTTTTGAGCTCTATATCTTCGATTTCTGACATTTGTGTCCTGTTTCTTTGTCTCCGCATTTTTTTATGTTTTCTTGGTGCAACCCCTAGTGGTCTTTGTGCGCGGTCTTGTTGTAGTTAAGCCTTGATTGTTGTAGGTAATACTGGGGGGATTTGACTTCCAGGCCAAGTGGCTGTGAGAATCAGCTGTGTCTGCAGTGAGAAAACTTCTGTCCTCTAGGGAGGTGCTAATCTAGCCTTTGCCTGAGGCTATCCAGCAAAAGCCTCCCTGCAGGGCTTGGGCGGGGTGGGTCACAGGGGATCTACAGAGCGGGCGGAGGGAGCAGTTATGGCTGCTCTCAGTCCCGTTCCCAGAGGCTCTGCCTCTCAGAGTCCCAGCAACCGCTGCAAACTTCGGAGAGAAAGCTGCCTTCGAGTTCCGACCGAAGCCAGACAGTCCCGCTTCTCCCGTTTGAGTCTGGGTCCCT